CATGCCATCTTCTCCTCACTCTGCTAACATTATCAGGGGTTAAATGGCTCAAATGGGTCTCTTGGAGGAAGATTATTTTAGCTTTTATTTGTTTAATCCTTTTCATTACTGGTCTCAGTTTGACAGCTTTATTCAGTCCTCTTACATTCCAAGAGGTGACTTGAAGGTCAGAGGTCATCAGTAAAAGAGAAAAATTATTTCAGTTATGGTGGTATGTGCATATAAGGGTAGGTTGCTAGGGGAAAATGTGACAAATAAATACAAGAAGGAATAAAAACAAAAACAAGCCTTTGTTGAACAATAGAGCTTAAATCCCCAAACGAAGTACACCCACCCAACCCACTGAGAACACTTCTCATGGAGCCATTTAGGCTCGGCCATGGAGTCCTGCTGGTCCACCCAGGCACTCATGATGGAGAGGAACAGCATATAAAAAAAGACAAAAAAACAAACAAACAAACAAACAAACCACCATACAATGGGCCCCTGTTAATAATTTGTGCAAATAACAACAATTAAACCATCATAAACCAATTTGTATGTATTAACCTTGGTTACATAACCATAATGTGTATTCTGATGCATGCTCATAATGTGCCATATGGCATAATGTGTATTATTTAACAATGTACATTAAACACAGAATGGTGATACCTTGATATAAACCCATGCAACTTATCACGCCAAAGAAATGAACAAATTTATTTTTTAGAAATAAATTTATAAATATGTGATCATATTTACAGTGAGAGATGGTTTGTCAGTGTCACATATTTTGATCTGCTGCTCTGCAATAGAGCAGCTATAATCTGATAGAGATGTTTCACAGTTCAATTACTCTTCATTCGACCTCTTCTCCATTTTCATGGTGCCGTTCACCCTTGAGTTGCTGTACGAAAGTCTCCACTTCTGCAGCCATGTCAAAAACATGATGTTTCTTTTTATAAGTCACCAGGGGTGTGGCAGGGTGCACAACACCATAGCACAGTTCAGGTAGTACCAGGGAGAGCGAAGCCAGGCCCTTTTTCACTTGGTCAAATATCTTGCATTTGTTCAGAAGTTCAGCAGAGACATCCAGGAAGAACATGACTCTTTTATTCTCTCGGCGTATTTCTCCATTCACCCTGCAGCCTTCTTGATCCGGACTTTGTCAGCATAGTTCAGCAGCTTCATGATCACCACTCTGTTCTGAGCATCTGCAGCATTAGCTCGCCCAACCTGTGTGCTCTCTCAGTGTTCTGTGGAACCAGTGGCGGCTCCAGAGATATTTTTCTGCAGGTGCTGAGGGGGGACTAAGCATTTTACTGAGTGTGCAATGAAGGATCATTTGTTATTTCAGTTCTCAAGGTCAAGGTGTCTTTACTGTCATTCACATCACATG